ATAAGTACAAGACTATAAAGTTCACATCTTTATTTCAATTTCCATATTATCGCTTTACAAATAAGAATACCGTTTCTACGAGTATGCAAGCAGTTTCTTGTTTAAAATTATAATACACGTATATATGATAACAGGCTTGTGGTTGTATAAATACAACATTTTTTAAATACAACATTTTTTTAAAGGCACCATGATTTAATTTGAATACATATTCATAGCATTTATATACAGAAATTCTAAATCAAAAGCAAGTTGAGTTTGGTCCATTATTGCAACTTACCATGTTTCTTATAACGACAACGTACGTTATACTTTAGCTCTATCTACGTACAGTATCATAAAGAGGGGAGTGTTTGACGTGTAATCTGCAGGAATCAAAGATTACGACGAAAGTTATCTGTTTAAGTAATGCCACATCATATTTTTTTCTTAACAGTTTGTACTTATTCTGACAACGATATTCAAGCAAGTTCTGTTTCAACAAGTCTTAAAGTTCTTTGGGGATTGACCTGTTCCAAAAACTTTAATGTGGTCACTGACATTTGGAAAATGTAAGGCAGATCAATCATCCGAAGCAAATTTAGATTGCCCATCCTTAGATGCATCATCCATACAAGTTTGATCTAGTCAGAGCTCATACATGTACTTTATTGGGAATAACCTGGTCACTAATCTGGAAAATGTAGGTCAGATCCAGCATCCGAATCTGGAAAATGTAGGTCAGATCCAGCATCCGAAGCAAGTCTGGCAGTGTTCTTTCCTAGATGCATCATTCATGCAAGTTTGATCCGGTTAGGGCTTATAGTTACTTGGGAATGGGCCTGCTCCAAAAACTTTTTCACCTGGTCACTAAAATGGAAAATATAAGTCAGATAAGGCATCCGAAGCAAGACGTGTCCATCACTAGATGCATCATCCATGCAAGTTTAGTCCGGATAAGGCTTATACATGTAGTAACTGTGACTTGGGAATGGACCTGCTCCAAACCCTTAATTTGGTCATTCATCTGGAAAATATTGGTCAGATCCATCAACCGAAGCAAGTCTAGTAGTGTCCATCCCTTGATGCATCATCCATGCAAGTTTGGTCCAGGTAGGGCTTATAGTTACTTGGGAATGGACTTGCTCCAAATAAAACTTTAACCTTATCACTCATTTGGAAAATGTAGGTCAGATACAGCATCTGAAGCAAGTGTGGTTACCGTAGTGTCCATTACTAAATGCATCATCTATGCAAATTTGGTCAGGGCAGGGCTTATAGTTACTTGGGAATAAACCTGTTCCAAACGCTTTAATCTGGTCACTCATCTGGAAAATGTAGGTCACTCAGATTCAGCATCCGAAGAAGTCTGGTAGTGCAGGCACGTAGCATCGTTTTTGAAAGTGGGGGGGCCAACCTCAGAAATTTTTTTTTTACTGACCTGAAAAAAGTTGACAAGCAAAAAAAAAAAAAAAAAAAAAAAAAAAAAAAAAAAAAAAAAAAAAAAAATTGCCCAAACTCGAAAATCCTATTTTGGGGGGGGGGGGGGGGGGGGGGGGGGGGGGGTATGTGGCCAACTTTTTTAAAGCCAATTTACTATCACTTCCACTTTTTTTCTTACAATCCTTGCTATCACTATTCTATGGTTATAAAGTGGGGGGGCCAACCATCCTATCAATGAACATTTACTATAGTAAAGGTTATGTTGGGGAAAAAAGTGGGGGGGGGGGGGGCTTATGTCCCTGTAGTGTACATCCCTAGATGCATCATATATGCAGGTTTGGTTTGGGTAGGGCTTATGTATACCATATAAGTAGAATTTTTAGCGAGGATTTAATTTTGGCATTATTAGCGAGGGTGTTGAGATCGCTAAAATTGGGTCTCGTTAAAATTTCCACTTATACGGTAGTTACTTGGAAATGGGCCTGCTCCAAACACTTTAACATGGTCACTCATCTAGAAAATGTAGGTCATATCCAGCATCCAAAGTTATTCTTGTATTGTCCATCCCTAAATGCATCATGTATGCAAGTTTAGTCCGGGTAGGGCTGATAGTTACTTGGGAATGGCCCTACTCCAAAACTTTAATCTGGTCATCCATCTGAGAAATGTAGGTCATATCCAGCATCCAAAGCTATTCTGGTAGTGTCCATCCTTAGATGCATCATCCATGCAAGTTGGTCTGGGTAGGACTTATAGTTACTTAGGAATGGACCTGCTCCTAAAACCTTAACCGGGATGCCGACGCCAACGCCGGGCGTATAGCATATAATGCTCATCTCGACTTCGTCAAGGTGAGCTAAAATGTCCAAATCGGGCGGGTTGAGCGTGGCTAGGCAGACTTTACGAAAACACAAAATATTTGTAAAATTTTCCAGTAGTCTTGATTGTTTTTAAAAAATTCAACCTTCTCACATGCATGGACTCCATGACTCTCAGTTAATTCGATACACAGGAGCATGCCCTACTTCGATCAATTTCTAAATTGAAGCAAGCTATTGAAAAACAAGTTGATGAAACAAGGAATAAGGCCTCATTTTTAGAAAGCATTTGGCAAGTTCTGTAGTCGATACATTGACTTTGTCAGAATCGAATGCCCGAACCAGATTAGGACGGGTATCTCCGATCGGCAGGGGATGCCTACTCTTGCATTGCACCTTACCTCTGAAGTCTGTTTGCTCTTGTATTGTTTCAATCGGCATGTGCTTGATGAATTTTTGTTATCTCCATATATCCCTCACAACACGCTTCTTACTATCATTTCACATGGGAGTTCTAAACACCATATATTTTTACTCGCTTTTCCCTTTTAATTCTTATGAACAACATCGCCACTAATCAGTGCAAAAACGACACTAAGGGATTTCTTGAATGATGACTGTTCCATCAGTTATGCATACAATGGCATATTCATCTATAATACAATATTTAACATATTTTATTTTACCTAGATTGTTTTTTAAACAGATGTAAATATATATAAACAATAAAATGCCTTTCTTTCTTCATTACGCGTAGTACGGGAATTAACGTCGCAGCTATTGCAGAAAAAATACATTATCATAGCCCGCTTACATGCTTACGCGGCGCGTTAAATATTTTTCTGCAACAGCTGCGACAGCTTCTAAACACTAAAAAAGTGCTTATAGGACTTGGAGAAAAATATATTATACAAAGGTATGCCTACTGAAGCTATCTAGTAATTCGTATTCAAAATTGGATACCTGCCTTAATTCTGCAGGAAACAAGTTCAAAGACAATGGACTATGTGTATGCAGAACCACTCTTGTTTACTTACATTAGGAAAATTAATGAAAACAATGAATTCAATTACTTATTCTTGGTCTAATATAATACTAAGCATATTCTTTTACAAATCTGTTATTCATACTGTAAATAGCCAATTTTTCAATCTTACTTATAAGGACAGATCTATGACTCTAAAAGGATAAACTTCCCTGTTAGAACTCTTTAGTGTGCAGTGTTAGGAGTTTTCTTAATTCCTGTACTAACAACCAAAGAAAGCATTTTATCATTTAAATAGTGGATTTTTCCTACAGAAGTACTGGCAATGGGGGTGGGCAAGTTGTGTCTTATATTCCGATCGAGTTCACTTGCAATATCCAGGAGACAAAAAATCCAGAAGTCTCTGTCCAGACTGTAGCTCTACTGGTTTGTACTTATAACAAAGGATGAGAAAAGAAGCCATTGCCATCAGACCAAAACTGTAGAAGGAGAAGCGTTTTAAAGGAATTTCACAAACATTTCTATTTATAGTAACCATGGCAAGACGTTCCTCAAAAGCAAAAACAGATGAACTATTTTATGTATCTTAGTGTAGTCTACTTGTGTGCCATGTTATATTAAAATCAGACCAAAACTGTAAGAGGAGTAGCATTTTGAAAAATTGTTTACAGACAGACAGACAGATGGACGGACGATGGACAATTTACTATCGCATAAGCTCTTCTGGTCTCTGACCAGTAGAGCTAAAAATGAAAACCAGTCTTTGATACATAAATATCTACAAATTAATGATGATTGAGACGTCATAGCAAGAGATTACATCTGCTCTCAGGTAGTTTTTGATTATATTTTGCCTAATAAGAATACATGTACATGTAATAATGATGACTGATACCAGTTCAATCAATGTAGCACAACTATTAAAATTTCAGCAGAATTTGAAGACCAGGCTCCTGGATCATGATACAGACTTAGACTTCATAAATAAATCAAATTTTTAATCGCCTTTAAAAAGTTTAATAATGAAAAATTGAAAAATACCTAATATTGGTATTTGTAAAATTTTAGAGCAGTCTGAAAATATACTGACTTAAGCTTAAGATGTTTCATGATCCTGGGGTCTGATTTCCAAACACTACCTTTACATTGCCAATGACAACCCAATCCTTCTGAATGTAATATCAAATTATTTAATATTGTCTGGGTACTTCATGCTCATGTGAAGCAATTTAAGTTTGAGATGGGAGGAGGGCAAAACCATATACTTTTAGTTGGAGGCACTATATCGATCAACTAAACGAAATGTTCCTTGACAAGCAAAAAAGTAATCAAACGATTACGTATACATATGTAACAGTAAGGAGAAAATGCATGGCTGGACCGGAAATAGAACCCTGGACCCCTGCATCTCCAGTCAGGTGCATTACCAACTAAGCTTTCCAGGCCGATATCCACAGCCCAAACCATTACATTCCTCCCTCCTTAAATGGTCGTCGCCCTCAAAGACACAACTTAACTTCTTATGCCCCTGGCAGCACTTTCAACTGCAATTTCAGGGGTGGTCAAAGGCACCAAATTTGTAACTGTAACAAACCCTAGCATCACTAGTCAGGTGCTCTACCAACTGAGCTATCCAGGCTGAAATCCACAGCCCATACCATTACACATAGTGGCTAGGTTTCTATGTATTCTATATATTATATCAGCAGAATTATTGCCAAGCTACTTTGTAAATGTACCAACAGTTTATATTTGAAGAAAAACAAATGAAAACATTTGCTCAACTTTATATAATTCTTTATTGACATTACATGCAAATGTACTGTCAAGGAAATCATCAATTAGTATTTTGAACCAGACCAGAGTTTATTTTCCAGGAAATCAAGAGTCTTGTTATCATATCATGTACACATTTGTTTCAATCTGCAAAGTTTAATATTATGTTGATCAACACTTCCATCATCTTTGCTAAAGGGTAGATTTACCAAGCTCTAACATCAGTGAATGAGGTTCCTGTAAAATAAGATTTAAAAAAATCATAGTTTGATTTCAACAGAAATATTGAAATAAAGCATAAATCATTTCATGGAATAAATAATCATTAATTTGCAGACCAAACTACTGGGCTATCTTCCTTCTTTAATCATATAATTAAAACATGCATCTTCAAAAACCTGAAAAAATGTTTTAATTTTAGTTAAGCCTTTTAGCAAAAAGCCCATGGGTTTTATAGGTCACCTGAGCATCATGATGCAACAACTTTCCAATCATTGAATTTAATTCACGTTTGTAGCCAGCTCTAGACCATGACATTCACAATTTTAAAAGACACTTGCACCATTGCTCATCATAACTATACACTTAGCATGCTTAGTTTGGTTACCTAATATCTGTAGATAGAGTAGGGGGACAAAAATAATGCATTTTAGACATTTGTCTGATAGAAATTCTGAGGTTGGGGGTACACCATCCATTCATCAGGTGCCTGTGATAACCAGTAGTACCCCCAGCCTAAAGGAACCTCTGACCCTGGGCAGCATAAAATATTTGATTAATACCAAGGAGAAGATTCCAGAGCATTTTAAATTCATTTTCAAGATAAATTTTGAGCCCCCCGCCCCATGTTACCCCTGACTTAAAAACCTTGAAATTCACAATTTTAGAAGAAGTACCATTCTTCACCATAGCTTAAAGATACTAGTAGTTCATCTGCCTAATACCAAAGAGCAGATGAGAAAATTTTCAAAGAAATAATGTATTTTCCTACATAATTACACCCTAACCCTAGAACCCTTAATCCTAAGGGCTATAAAATTCACAATTTTGAAAGAGGCACTCTTTCTCATCATAATTATGTAACTATTTAGTCAGTTCCCAGGAGCTTAGAAGATTTTCAAAGAGTTTATGCATTTCAAAAGTTTATTAAATAAATTTATCCAATTTACAGTTTTTCCGTGATCGTATAGTTTTAGAAATATTCGTTCCTGAAATATGATCAGAAAAGGCCAAAGTTTTATATACAAATATATAGGAAAATTCTTTTAAAATATAAAGAGTTTAAGAACTCCAAATAAATAAATAAACAAAAGTCCAAAAGAATGATTCCCAAAAATATATTATAAGAGAGAGTTGGTAATTTGTATTCAAAATTGGATACCTGCCTGTAAAAGCGGGAATAAGAACGGGAATAGGAATGAGAGCGGGAATTAAAACGGGAATACTCTTTTCTGACTAAAACAGAGTATTTTGTGCTCAGTGGGTATCCATGGTCCCAGATATAAAAATGTATTTCATTGGCTAATTCACCATCACTAACCACCTACGCTTTGTACGTAGGTCTGTCCGTTGACCTATGAACCCCAACATGGAACCAACCTGGAATACAGGTAAACACTCATTACTAATATTTATGGGCTCAGTCCCCATCTCTGCACACAGGAGTTCTAGCCTTAAGCTCTTTTACTTATTTACTTCAAAGTTCCCAATTTTATTGCTCTTAGTCAAAACTCTTAATAATACCATTGTATTTCCATTCAAATTTTATTACTTACTATCGATGGGCTTCGGATCAATTTCATTACAAAATGATCTACCAAATTATAGTGCATTTGAACAACAACAAAATCAAATTTGTTTTGACAAGATAATAATTGTTTACAAAATTAAAGTCCTTTTTTCCAATTATAAAGTCACCGAATCTGCGTCACTAATGATATACATTCTAATTTAATAAACCTTTATATATCATTTTATTTTAACTTCTAAAAACTAAAAATGATTATGTCATTAATATTGTCTAAGTTTAAAATATTCACACAATATGTCTGTGCTAAACCCTATAGGTTTACAGAGCCCCTGACCAAGGGGTGATGAAATTCACAATTCTGGAAGACTGGCATGCTTGCTCATTATAACTATGTATGTAGAACTTTTAATACATGCAGTATAATAAATACCTGGGAGTATAGAAGTAATTATTTTCAATGAGGTTATTCATTTCATTTTAAAATAGAGCCCTGTCCTAACACTTAGAACCCCTGTTATAAATTATATAATTGCTCATATATTTTAGTTATCTTGTTAAATATCCAGGATCAGAGAAGAAAATGTTCAAAGAATTTATCATGCACTATATGAATTAATCAATAGTGCCCTGCCCTAACATCAAAACTCCTGATCCAGGGGCCATGAAATTCACAATTCTGGAAGAGGCACTTTTGCTCATCATAACTTTGCACTTGGATAGTTTAAGACCCAGGAGCAGAGAAGATTTTCAAAACAATAATGCATTTTCACTTAATCTATATAGCCCCACAGTAATGCTGGAACCCCTAATCCTGGGGCCAAATCCTGGGGCCATGAATTTCAAAATTTTGGTAAAGAGGACTCAATGCTTATTACAACCAGGATAGAAGAAACTGAAAATGTTCAAATGTTAACCGGCGACACACAATGTACCATGTCTCAACAAATGAAAAGGAATTGCAAGAAGTCACCAGAATTTACTAAATGACATTAGGTTTGATATTTATAGTGGATACCCATTATCCAACACGGCTGTCTTGCACAGAAACAAACTTCTAAATGTTGTGGGGGAAATAAATTGAGCTTTTGCAATGAAAAAAAATTTACCCAAGTGATTTGAATGGGTATGATTTTCTTTCACTGAATTTATTAGGCCATTTCTTTCACCGAATTAATTAAGCCATGGACCAAATGCATGAAGATAATTACCAGACTTTTGAAATACTGTTAAACGAGAACATTTGGTGCATATGTATTTATGCTCAAATGCAATTTGGAATGCATTAGCCCAAATAAATTTTTGTGTTTGCAGTTTGTCATTAAAATCAGGGACCTGTTAAAATTATATAATTGCGATATATTTTTTATCCATTCCTGTACAAAAACACAATGACGCTCCCCTATATAAGTCATTTTTGTCACCCGCTAAAAGTGCAATTAATTTTTATCCGTCTGTCTGTCAATGCTTTCATTTCCACAGGATATCTCAAGAACCCTTTGAGCTTTTGCAATGAAATTTAGCATAGCAACTCCCTATGGACTAAAGATTTTTTTGAGGGTCAAAAAGTCAAAGGTCAAGGTTATAAATTTAAGCAAATTCTGTCTGTTATGTGTGTAGTTTTCCAACATATCCATCCATTTGAGTTATTGCAATTAAATTTTATGTAACAACACCCTGTGGCCTAATGAAGACCCCTATTGATTTTAAGGTCAAAGTTCAAGGTCGTAAATTTATACATTCTGTCTGTGTGTAACACCATCATTTCCGGGCGATATTTCAAGAGAATTTTGAGCTTATGCAATGTAATTTTCTAAAAGTGTCCCGCCCTGTTTGTTTTATTAGTATTTATTGTATTACATGTTGCTATTTTTAGCACAGGGGCATGAGGAGAGTTATTACGTATAAAACAGGTTCTCGGTGGACTTTATATTCTTATTACATCTATTACAACTGTTTAATAAATGTTAATTACACACCATGCATTGTGAAAAATTTTGACAATATTGAACCTGAATATATATACATGTATGTGACTTCATTTTTGCATATAATTTTATCTAGATTAAAGCGGCTCCGTGGTCTAGTGGTATGTCTCTCCCTTTACATGTCAGAGGGCCAGGGATCGCATCCCAGTCGATCCATTTTATTATTTTTTTTTTTTCAAAATACTGTTTTGTTTTTTTTTACTAAATGATAGTATTCAGCATGTGAAATGAAAATTTTATGAGGTTTGGCTTGTACAAACTCATCATAACAGTGTGTTAAATATTCGATATAAAAAGAATATTCTATACACGTAATAAAGAATAAGCAATCAAACCTTTATATCCATTTTGTCATATTTTCTTTGCTTCAGTTTACATGTATACATTTAATTTACTTTTTCCCAATCCGAACATCACTCGGCCTTTTCCGTTTTTTCTCGACTTGACAGAAAAGGCCGAGTGATGTTCCGATTGACTTTTTCCCTAAGCGGGTGACACAAAGTCTCTGAATTATCTTGTTACCGCAGTGTTGCAATCACATGGACGTAGCACAATGTTTAAATTTTATTTTATTTGAAATAAGACATGGGAGTATTTATGCATTATATTCATATTTAAATTAAAACATGTACAGTGCTAGTGTGTATATAAAACCCAACGGCCTTTCGACATTACAAAAAAACGTGTTCCAGTTTACATGTACATGTATTTATGTGAAAGGTTTGAACACGCAAATAAAAAATATTTAGAAATCTTAGCGCACAATAAATTTTAGCATTCAGGGGCTCTTGCGCAAAAGGCACTAAAATTAGCAGTGCTTTAAATACTTTCGTTTTACAGTACATGTATGTATTTACTTGTTTGGCTAGTGGGACTAGTGGATTTCAAAAACTCTGAGGTTACCTTACTGTCTAGTCCTATCAATTTTAATTATTAATTTATATAACCACAATACCAGAAACAAACATTAATTTTTTTTTTATTTGGCCTTACCTTGGATGTCCTTTCATGGCTTTAAAGCAAGATTTCTTTGTGGTACCTTATCTCCATCTTAACTATGGTTTTCTTGTCTGCGATTAAAGATATATTGTAACCTGTAATAGATAATAGTAAAATATTGTTAGTGGTGCACCGTGCATGCATTAACCATTGTATGATATCAATTTTCACTACTTGTGGCAATGCACATTTTGCAAATTCCTAACATTTTTCCCAAAAATGGTGACCAATTTTTGAAACTCCACAAAGTTAACTCGGCTGATAAAATTTCATGTAAAACAAACATGGTCAGGTTGAAATATGGATGAAATGAACATAATTTGTTGGAAAATTGACTAAAACTTCATAATAATTAATCTATTCTCTAAATTATAGTTCTGAATAATGAAGCAAAAAATCAATTTTATTGATTATAAGTGTTTATTTCTTGAAAATTATCATGCAATAAAAATTCCCCAAAAGTGATAAAATGTCGTTAAATTCCCAATTGGAAGGGCCTGGGCCCCTTTCCCAAAATGGTGTGGAAAATCCCTGTGATATCAATACTGTTGCTTTGGCAATGCACATTTATACAGATATAACATTCTAATTGACCAATTATTTATACACAATTATTAATAAATCTAAATTATCTACAGTTAAAAAACTGAACATTAGTGTTGTCAAATCAGTTGAAAATCAGAATCGATTAATAAGCAGCATTTGTTGACTCTCAATGAATAACCAACTGACCATCGGCCAATAATCCAATCATTAACTATTTGTATAAAATAGGTTCTTAATGCTATATAAATTGTAGAATTTTAATTTTATAATAATGTAACTAGTGTTGTATTGTACAGATTTGATTTCTAAGTATGTAAAAATGGTAAATGAAAACACTTGGGAAATATTCATGGAAGATATATATTGATAACAAGAGGTTTTCTTAAAATAAAAGTGAGAAAACAATAAAAAGATAAGTGCAGTAATATACCAATTATAATCGATTGTTAAAATCTCAAATCCATTGTCTAAAATTGACAGCCTTTCCAATCAATTATCGATTATAAATCGATCATCGTGACAACATTGTCTAAAATTGACAGCCTTTTCAATCTATTATAAATCGATCATATGGCGCAATGAAAATTATTGGACTAAAATTATGACAACACTATATAAAGATAGAACTTTTCCGAACATGAATAATATTGCAAGACAGAGTTTTTTGAATGCCAATTTTGTGTAAATAGGCTAAATTTTAAGTGTGGTGGTTACTCATTTAGTAAAGGAAACAAGATGTGTCTGTGAAACACTAATGCCCCTGTATGGCAACATAACAAAGATTAAAATGTTCATAATTGCAAATTAAATATTTTGGTACCCAAAGTAAAGCATTCTCACAAGAAATACAATTGTGAAATATGGAAGGCCATTTAGCACCATATTTTCAAAAGTTAATGGTTAAGGGTAAGTTTTTTAAAGGTATTACAAATACCAGGATATTTTCAAAAGGTTCAAGATTTTTAAAGTATGTAAATCTCCAAGGTCAATGTCAAAAGGTTAAAGTTGTTAGAATCCAATAAGTTTTTTTTTTTTTAACAAAGAATACATGTGTGAAGTATGAAAGTCAGCTAGGTCATCTGTCAAAATAATGTTTGCTTGCCCTCTGCTGACTCAGGGTACAACAAAAAATCTGTGAGCCAATGCTCACTATAGTAATACCCCCACTCTGATGTGAATATACAATATCATGTTAATAAACGTTAAGGGTTTACGCCTGGAAAATTGAATTTGATATCAGATTCTTATAAAAATACATCCCACCATACTGCATGCCTCAACAAAGTATGTACTAAAATTTCAAGCATCTGTTATGAGTACAGTTGCTGAGAAAACTGCAACAAAAATTTGTTAATTTATGAAACGGACAGATGCACTGACAAACAGGAAGTTGACATCGGATTTTAAGAAGAATAGATCCCATCATATGGTATGCCTCAGAGATGATAGTGATACAATTTCAAGCATCTGCAATGAGTATTTGCTTTGAAAACTATTACTAAAAATTATGTGTAAAACATGTATGAACTGAGAGACGCACAGACGAACAGGAAGTTGTCATTAGAGTTGAACAAAAATAAATCCCACCATATGGCATGCCTCAAAGAAGATTGTGTTAACATTTCAAGCATCTGCAATGAGTAGTTGCTGAGAAAACTGTGACGACAATTTTTTATATATAAAAACATGTATGAAACGGACAGACGCAACGACAAACAGAAAGTTGACATCAGATTTGAACAGAAAAAGTTCCCACCATATGGCAAGCCTCAGGGAAGATTGTGTAAAAATTTAAAAAATCTGCGATAAGTAGTTCCTGAGAAAACTGCGACGAAAATTTGTGATGTATGAAACAGACAGATGCACGGATAAACAGAAAATTGACGTCAGATTTGAACAAAAATTAATCGATACAATATGGAATGCCTCGGAGAAGACTGTGTCAAAATTTCAAACATCTGCGATGAGTAGTTGCTGAGAAAACTTTGATTAAAATTTGTTACAGACGGACAGACGGAAAGACAGACTGACAGACACACAAGGGAAAAACAGTTTACCCCCCTCTCCTTCGGAGCGGGGTATAATTATTGGGTTGGTAGGTACAGTGCCTGCAACATTATCGTTGACAAAATAATCATGTAGAATCGTTCGTGATCAATTGTTTAAGGTGCGAGATCGTGCGTGTTTCAGAATAAATCATTTGTGGTTTTAATTGTGCAGGATCATGCGTTAAGAAACATGTAAATTTCGTTTTGTAAGTTTTTTTTAATATAATTTGTTTATCAAGCATTTCGCTTGTTTTATTTTAAATTTAAATCCAAATAAATTGAATGAAGCACAATTTACATAACTGAATGCGGAACGAACTAATTTTTGCTTGTAAACAAGCAAATTAGTGCTTAGTATTAAAATGTTATTTTCTCATCAAATATAGCACAACCTATATTGTGATAAATCATACTTAAATGTTTAACTTTTTGTTTTTCTATGATTTTTAGACTGCTGTGGTCAACATATTTTTTTTTAAATCAATACATCAAAATTAATTTTTTTTTAAAAATAAATAAACAGTTCTCAATGCTTACTAAGACTTCAACAATACCTAGGTTGGACGGTATACCGCCGTTTACATCTCCACTGTTCCGTTCACGATACGTCAAACTGTTATCATGGTTTGGTTCAATCCGTCCGTTAGTACCCAAATTATCCGTTTTGGCTCCTTGTTTACAATTTCAAAATGGCCTCCGCACGACACATGAGGTCAATGAAACCGCAGAAACGACATTTAAACTTGTTTCAAGCCTCATATTTAATAGGACGAGGGATGTTATCACTTTCCTAGTGTTAGTGTAATGAACATTTGATAAAATTCACTTTCCTAGTGATAGTGTAATGAACATTTGATAAAATTTATTAGTTTAAAGTATATGATGACAAACGTCTGACTTTTTAACCCAATATGTCATGTATCATGATACGTATCGTATCGTGAACTGAATACTGTGATACATATTGTATCATGGGGAAGCGTATCGTTGCACCCCTAATGTTTACATAAATATTTAGTCAGCAAATATGCATCCACACGCCATGATTTTCGATGTTTTGTTTATCAGTGTTTATCTCTGGAGCTTAGTAACTTAAAGTTAATTTTTAAATTTCTACAAATAAAAAAAATGTTAAATATTAAATTGACAAGTTCAATTTTCAACTTCACAAACAATGAATCAATGGAAACATATGGATATAACTTGTAATCAAAGTCATTCCATGCTATCAATTGTTTTTAATCATATCCCCCTTTCTGCATATCGTGTAAGGTAGAATTGGGTGCGTGCACGTGGTGAAAAATCGTTTGTGTAACAGGTTTAATTGTGCGTTAATCGTGCGAAATCGTTCGTGTAACATGATCGTTAAGTTGTCAACAATAATGTTGCAGCCACTGTATAGGTTAAAAAATCTTTTTTTGGAAAATTTCAACACATTTGTTAAGTTGTTAACAGGATAAGAGGCAGTTTTCACGAAGACTCATAAGGCTAGTAGGGAGGAGTATCGCTCAAAATTTCGTGTCACAATATATATCGATTTTTCCCAAATATCACGATTATATCATGGAATTTATACAAGTAATTTTTACTTGTAATGATTTTAAATGAAAAGTCATTATTTTTCTTAAAAATATATGCTAGAAAAACAAAATTTCACATTTTTGAAATTTTTATTTCAACAAGAGGCCAAGGGGCCACAGCGCTCACCTGAGCACATTGGGCTTGAATTTAACCCCCCCACACACACACACACAGGCATTCATCATTTGAACAAACTAGAATCTACACTACCTGAGAATGATTCCATATAAATTACACTAATCATAGCTTTGAAGTACTTGAAAAGAAGATTTTAAAAGGTTTCCCTATATATCCCTATGTAAAACTTGGGTCGGCCTTTTTTGCCCCACCCTAGCCCCGGGGGTCATGATTTGAACAAACTACCTGAGGATGACTCCACATGAGTTTCATCTTTCCTGGCCCAGTGGTTCTGGAGAAGAAGATTTTTAAAGATTTTTCCTATATATTCCTATGTAAAACTTGGGTCAGCCATTTTGGCCCCACCTTAGCCCCGGGGGTCATGATTTGAACAAACTTGAATTTACACTACCTGAGGATGATTCCACATGAGTTCTATCTTTCCTGGCCCAGTGGTTCTTAAGAAGAAGATTTTTTAAAAATGCCATTAATTTTTCTCTAATTCATAATTATCTCCCCTTGGAAAAGGGCATGGCCCTTCATTTGAACAAACTTGAATCCCCTTCACCCAAGGATACTTTGTGCCAAGTTTGATTGAAACTGGCCTAGCGGTTCTTGAGAAGAAGTCGAAAATGTGAAAAGTTTACAGACAGACGGACAGACAGACGGATGCCGGACAAAATGTGATCAGAAAAGCTCACTTGAGCCTTCGGCTCAGGTAAGCTTATAAAACTACAGCTGTAATCATGTTTGGATAGTACGATGCTATTCTTTTCACAGGTCATAATTTAGATAATTTAAAATCTACATTAATA